GATATAACGTTCGTTGATTAATTAAATTACTGACAAAATAATTAATCAACTTCTTACCATTTTCGAAATTAGTACCGCTCAGCCTTTAACCATTATGTCAGACAATCGTCTACCTGCAGGGTTTAACATAATGTTCCTTTCTGAGCTCATTTCGGGGACGTCATCAATTCAGCACACTGGAACATAGTGACTGTAAATAATTTAGAATAGCACATCATATAATTATTCTTGCTTACCAAAATACCTCGTATGTCATCCTAACAGAATAGGAATCACTTGGTAAATCAAATAAATAAGAAATAAAAATATATGCCTATTTTATATTATCTTACAGCTTCAGAGAACGCATCAATCACTGAAGGTTTAGGTTACGACAACGGTCAGTGAGTCTCATATCCTTATCCTTCCGTGGTCATGTTCAACACTTATCATAAGTGCTAGTGTAATCCTTCAGTCAAAGACCAACTGAATCGAGAATACACTATAGTCTTTTTCCAAGTGGGGTCTCACTGTCAGTCTAGACTGTGAATAAATAGTTTAGTCTTATAAGGAACCGATAGGTGATCTTTCCGTTCGAAACTCTCCGAACCACACTACCTCAATATAAGACATGGAGTATGTATTACATAAATAAATAAACTGCAAACATATGTACTTTGACAGAAACATGACTGCCAGATCAAAATGGAATTGATAGAAACTGCAAAACATCGCTTTTACAACATACCTCTAACAATCTCCAACTTATTCTTTATAAGCTCATGGCTAAAACAAAATAACCACAATTTCTTTCAATCTAATTCTCAAAGACTAGTCTACTATGTTGCCCTAACATCTGACTCCCATTCCCTCTACGTGTCTCGTAAAGACTTTCGCCGGTAGGCTTTTCGTAAAAGGATCTTGATGTGGTCGATAGTAGTGGTTCATAAGGAACCGGTTGTGATCCGGTCATCAGTGACAATATGGAGGGGACCGGCTAAGCGTTATGGAAGTCGGGTGGTTGGGAGTGCTCGGCGTCGCATGGTGATTCGGCGTCCCTCAAGCGTTCGGCTTTGAAGATGGTCGGGATGGAGTGTCTGGCGCAGCATCGTCCGGTATGGCGAGTGCCCGGCGTGGGCGAGTGCTCGGCGCGAGGCCCCCAGCGGGTGC